AATTTTTTCACCATCTCTAAAGCACATATGGAATGAATACACTATTCATCAAGAGTCTTACTTATCTGATGGGTTGTATGGAAAGTTATGTTATGTTATGGACGTTAGCAGGCCTCAGTTTATCATCAAATACATTAGCCAACTGCCTGGAACATAGTATGTTTCAGGTATCATAAGAGGCAAGAAGCATGGGTAATTTGATTGCCCCGTCATGATTTTGCCATGTCTAAACATAGTGTAAAAGTTTCTTTATACTATATTTTATTTTTGAAGGACACAGACAGTTACACTATCTGCTCCTAGTTGAGCCTAAGATCCAACATCAAAATTAGTCATCAGTGAAATATCTTGGATATACTGTTGAACTAGCCCCATGCTATAATATAGTAATGGTTTATTTTGTACCATCTTAAAATCTTATATTTTATATACAAAGGAAGAATCTCAAATACAACTCTAGAACACAAATATTCTGCTCAGCTAAAAACATTTGGCAAATCCACTATTTCCGGAGCATCTTAAAGTTGGCCCAAGTTAAAGTAAGATGAGTAATAACTGACAAAAAAAGTAATCTAATCAGACGTCAGAGGTGATGCTTTTTGCTTGCGTCACAGCCGATTAAGAGATCATACTAAATGAGACCCATACAGCACCACTAGCTGGCATTGAGGTTTTTCTATCTTTAATACATGGGATGAAAATTCTTCATTTTTCTCCCCAAATGTATTACTTCACTGGTTCTCTTGGTCCAATTCAAACTTTAGTGAATAGACCCTCACTTATCACCCATGAGAGTTTACGAGCTATGGATGAATAGAGTTTCGAGAAAACACTGACTCTTGGGTACATTATACACTGCCTGGCCAAAAAAAAAGATGCCACCTGTATTTAACTAAGCAAAAAGGTAAGAGCCTCCTATTGGATAGTTACTGCATGGGCGATTATCTTTCAGCTGGCAACAAGTTATTTAATCCCAACTGCTGCAATGAGTAGCTTATCATTTCTTTAACAACCATGTCAAAAGACACATCCCGTGGTCATGGAGAAGATGTTAGTCTGTTTGAGAAGGGTCAATTCATTGGCATGCATCAAGCAGAGAAAACATCTAAGGAGACTGCAGAAACTACTAAAATTGGGTTAAGAACTGTCCAACGCATTATTAAAAAGTGGAAGGATAGTGGGGAACCACCAGTGATTGGTGCATCAGGGTAAGAAGAGAGGCAGATGAAGTGATGCACCCATCATGCCTAGTGCCTACTGTACAAGCCTGTGGGGGCAGTGCTATGATCTGGGGTTGCTGCAGTTGATCAGGTCTAGGTTCAGCAACATTATGTGCCCAAAGAATGAGGTCAGCTGACTACTTGAATATACTGAATGACCAGGTTATTCCATCAAAGGATATTTTTCTTCCCTGATGGCTCAGGCATATTTCAAAATGACACTGACAGATTTAATCGGGCTCAAATTGTGAAAAAGTGGTTCAGGGAGCATGAGACATCATTTGCACACATGGATTGGCCACCATAGAGTCCAGACCTTAACCCCATTGAGAATCTTTGCGCAGTTGTCCGACTCTCCCATCATCAATACAAGATCGTTGTGAAAAATTAATGCAACACTGGACAGAAATAAATCTTGTGACTTTGAAGAAGCTTATCGAAACAATGCCACAGCGAATGCGTGCCATCATCAAAGCTAAATGCGGTCCAACAAAACTTTTTTTTTTGGCCAGGCAGTGTATATCACTATATAATAAGGTTCATTACCTCTTAGTGCAGGCATAGGCAACCTTTGGCACTCCAGATGTTTGGACTACACCTCCCGTGATGCTTTGTCTTAGTGGAATTTAGTAAAAATCTACCATGTCTTGAATACATTAATTTGGTCCTATAGCTAGACCATGTGCCTTTCAATAGCAGTAATATTAAGCCTCCACTATCGTCTTCCTTCTGTACAGATTAGTGGATCCACACTTCCATAAAATTATTGATTATTTGCTAGCTATGTCCCATTTTTATTTCTTTCTAGTAAATTGAGGAGGTATAATGACTTCACGTACAACATGGATAGGGGGATATAACCACAAATAACATTAATATCATGTAGTCTTCCTCACACATATCATTGTGCAGGGCAACAAGTAAACATTTTACTCATTTTGTACCTGTATAGATGGAAGGGAATTGTTACTTTTCTATATTTTACAAAATTATCCTGATTTAAGTCCAGTCTTCATTCTTTGTGTGCATGGTAATGGTATATGGTACTGACTAGCTATTCTACTCTCGAAGTTTGGTAACGAACTGTTTTTCACATGAATCATCTGGAAAAATGAACTCTTCCATCAAATTTAGAGGTTGCTTTGTCCTAAATTGTGCAATATTATTTTACATCTGGGAGTAAACTTTTTGATATATGTGCCATATTCACACACTGCTTGTTCTACACTTGGGAAATGAAACCACTGGCCGTGTGGTAGTAACTAAAAATTCTTACCATTTTGGAATAAAAATTTTACATTGATGTATTTCCTAGACAACATGTTTCCTGCCAGGTGTAGCTTTAACTTGTCCACAAAAGTATGTGTAACAGCTTTAAGAACGCACCTTTTTTATCTGCATATGGTTTACTGACCCAAACTCTAAACTGATGAGGATGATGATATCTGAAAGTATCTTCATATATAGGAAAACTCACAAATATACAAAACATTTGCTATAATAAAGGCAACATACACTCTAACAAGATTATATTTTTCAAATTGTGCCCAATATAATTTGTAAAAAAAATAAAGAAAAAAAAAATAGACAGTTAGCCAATCTCACACAAATCAACATTAGTTTCATTAAATCGTATGAATTAATATTGTTTGAATAGAGCTACAACTGAACTATAAATTTTAACCGTATTTTGTAATATTTAATTAAAATGATTATTTAGGAATCTCAGTGTAAAGGCCCTGGACATAAGTTTCCGTTGAATAGTATTAACATTTATTAGTTTAGGTAAGTTTGCTCTTTTTACATTTATGTGGGTGGATATTGGGCAGATTATCATAAGCTCCTGATACAACGGAATGGGCCTCAAAAGAGTAGTATATTTTGTAGTGAGTTATACTATCCATGTTCCCCTGACCTCTATTTTGTGGGGAGGTCTAAGGATGAGCATCTACAGTCCTACAATTTTGTAAAAACAAATTTTTAAAAAAATATAGCCTCAATCTCGAAGACTAATGATACTTCAATGGCATAGATTTTGGTAAGAGACCACAACTGAGTTATAAACCATAGGACACTTTAATACTAGGATAACTTGCATTATGGGAAAACATGTCTACCATAATTCATGTTAGAAAGAACAGTTTCTCAAAGGTTGTCACACATTAGTTACTGTGATGTGTGAATGGTGTGTCCTGGAAGGACTATTGGTCTAGATCTAGGAGATTCTTCAAATCTGGCTCTCGAGCTGTCCTTGCACTCCAATTATCAAAATCAAAATTATCATTGTGAAAAAGTTGAAAACAATTTGGAGAGCATCCCATTCCACATGGTCACGGAGGACAAGAAATAGCTACTGTTATCTAGTTTCCATCTGTTAACCTCACAACATTACTAATCTGACATCCATACTATATCAGCCAGTAGGGTTTGCTCACGTAATTGACATTTATGGAGAAATATCAAGCAAACTGTGGGCTAAGATAGCCAAACTGGAAAAAAAATGTAAACTCAGTTCAGCTATTTTGGATTTAAATGTGCACTTCACTTGAGCATTCTACACAATTCACACCTTTCTGTATAAAACATAGCAGGGTTATTTGTATGTAAAACATTCCAGCAGTCTATAGTATTTTACAGTGTTTATTAACAGAGAAATGTTATTCATTAAAAGACAAGTTTAGGCACCTTATATACGTAACTTTTTTTAATGAATCGGGACCTACTGATTGGCTTAGAGAGTCAGTTGACCGCTCTAAGCCAATCAGCGGCACCTCTGTCTGATGCTGTCTGAGCCTTCCATTAAGACTTCAGATAGCAGAAGGACAAGAGGGCATTTATGAATAGTATAACCCCTTAGAGTGAGTCAGTGGCAGGCATCTCGTGGCACCATAACAACTTCCTTAATATCACGGATGTTGTTATGGTGCCCGGAGTGATCTGTGTGTCAAAGAAATAATAAACACACACACAATAGTTAACACATTTTAGTTCCAGTCATGATTGCAGATTATACCGATACCAGTATGTATTTTCACATCCTTGTATAACACTTTGCCTCAAATCACCTTTTAAACCTTTTTGAGTGCTGGAGGGTTGGAGTATTTGTTCCCTTGGTAACATGATGAATGACTCTCTGGCACTCGCCATATTTAAAGAAATAAAAAAAAAAATGTTTTATAGCACAGTAAAACTTTTTAAAAACAAAATGGCAAATGTTTGTTCTGTTTACTCGCAAGTGTTTCTACGTATGGGAGGATAGTAATGTTTCTCTAAATTATTCTAAAAATAAAAGGTGAAAGTAAGGATTTTTTCCAAGGTTTCCCTGTATTGTGTGTTTCATGTTATGGTTTCTGAACATTCTATTGAAACCCTTCCAGACATGGGGGATTGACAAATCACTTTTAAAACTGCCTTGGCATATTATTTCTCATGAACGGGTTAAGCAAAGTTCTTTTTGAAAGAAGTTACAGATTTTAAATTTCCAAAAACATTCTAATCCTGAAGCTGGCTATTTCTCTGGGTTTATGGACATATCTAGAATCATTCGACCAGGCCTAGAACTTATATTGTTGGCATCAAAAGCATTTACTTACCTAACTGATGTGGAAATCAATCAAATTGATTATCTTACGTATCTGCCCCCGGCCAAATTAAAGAAGTAATGCATGCATGCTCCTAAAGTAATTCACACCAGACACAAGTTTTGGGTTAATGAAAAACTTGAGGAATGTTTATTCTGACAGCATGTCCCTTATAAAGCAAAATTACATCATATGCATTGTCAGAGATAACATGAAATAATACATCAATAATTGGTTAGGTGTTAAGTGGTTCATTTAGTGCTCTTCCTACCGGGTGTGATGTCACTGGTATCTTGGTGGTCTCCCTCAGATTCCAGCGCCATCTTGTTAATGAGGGTGTTAGTCAATATCAAGAAGGAAACTCCCTAGCGGCCATTTTAGGTAAATCACATAGAAAGTTGAATAATGCTGATTGTAGTTATGCTGAGTAAATAGGCATTTTACTAACATGAATTGGGTTAATATTTTTGTCCACAACACTAACATACAAGTGCGTTTACGAATGAAGCGCACTGACATTTCTCTATCTGGATACACTATCTATGCAACAGTTTTCAACATACGGGGTAAGTTCACACTAACTTATAATGATATATAACGGTTGTGTTATCTTGCCATGACCAATTGTATCTGCTGCATATCATTACTACAAAGTGATTGCTTGAAAGGAAATCTTCTGACCACTTCCTTAGAAATCACGTGACACTGACAGATTTGGAGAATATTGACTAATTTTGGCTTTCTTTAGAGATGATGGGACTATGGAATCCAAGTTATTATACAGGGAGTGCAGAATTATTAGGCAAATGAGTATTTTGACCACATCATCCTCTTTATGCATGTTGTCTTACTCCAAGCTGTATAGGCTCGAAAGCCTACTACCAATTAAGCATATTAGGTGATGTGCATCTCTGTAATGAGAAGGGGTGTGGTCTAATGACATCAACACCCTATATCAGGTGTGCATAATTATTAGGCAACTTCCTTTCCTTTGGCAAAATGGGTCAAAAGAAGGACTTGACAGGCTCAGAAAAGTCAAAAATAGTGAGATATCTTGCAGAGGGATGCAGCACTCTTAAAATTGCAAAGCTTCTGAAGCGTGATCATCGAACAATCAAGCGTTTCATTCAAAATAGTCAACAGGGTCGCAAGAAGCGTGTGGAAAAACCAAGGCGCAAAATAACTGCCCATGAACTGAGAAAAGTCAAGCGTGCAGCTGCCACGATGCCACTTGCCACCAGTTTGGCCATATTTCAGAGCTGCAACATCACTGGAGTGCCCAAAAGCACAAGGTGTGCAATACTCAGAGACATGGCCAAGGTAAGAAAGGCTGAAAGACGACCACCACTGAACAAGACACACAAGCTGAAACGTCAAGACTGGGCCAAGAAATATCTCAAGACTGATTTTTCTAAGGTTTTATGGACTGATGAAATGAGAGTGAGTCTTGATGGGCCAGATGGATGGGCCCGTGGCTGGATTGGTAAAGGGCAGAGAGCTCCAGTCCGACTCAGACGCCAGCAAGGTGGAGGTGGAGTACTGGTTTGGGCTGGTATCATCAAAGATGAGCTTGTGGGGCCTTTTCGGGTTGAGGATGGAGTCAAGCTCAACTCCCAGTCCTACTGCCAGTTCCTGGAAGACACCTTCTTCAAGCAGTGGTACAGGAAGAAGTCTGCATCCTTCAAGAAAAACATGATTTTCATGCAGGACAATGCTCCATCACACGCGTCCAAGTACTCCACAGCGTGGCTGGCAAGAAAGGGTATAAAAGAAGAAAATCTAATGACATGGCCTCCTTGTTCACCTGATCTGAACCCCATTGAGAACCTGTGGTCCATCATCAAATGTGAGATTTACAAGGAGGGAAAACAGTACACCTCTCTGAACAGTGTCTGGGAGGCTGTGGTTGCTGCTGCACGCAATGTTGATGGTGAACAGATCAAAACACTGACAGAATCCATGGATGGCAGGCTTTTGAGTGTCCTTGCAAAGAAAGGTGGCTATATTGGTCACTGATTTGTTTTTGTTTTGTTTTTGAATGTCAGAAATGTATATTTGTGAATGTTGAGATGTTATATTGGTTTCACTGGTAATAATAAATAATTGAAATGGGTATATATTTGTTTTTTGTTAAGTTGCCTAATAATTATGCACAGTAATAGTCACCTGCACACACAGATATCCCCCTAACATAGCTATAACTAAAAACAAACTAAAAACTACTTCCAAAAATATTCAGCTTTGATATTAATGAGTTTTTTGGGTTCATTGAGAACATGGTTGTTGTTCAATAATAAAATTAATCCTCAAAAATACAACTTGCCTAATAATTCTGCACTCCCTGTATTTGACTGATCTTGGACATTGGGTTGTCACCTAGTCAATTTAATTAGGAAGACATAAAACAAACAAATAATAAAAAATACATACTTCAAGGTCATTGTAAGTTTGCATTGTTTTAGAACATCCCATCACAAGGTTAAATAGTGATCTTTATGTATTTCCAAATTAAATTCGATCAAATGTTTTACAGAGATTTATTCTCTAAAGTGCAAGTTGATTTGGTAAACAAACTCCTAGCTCATGAGGATGTCTTCGGAGCACGACAAAAAAAAAATTTAAAAATCTAATTTTTTACAATTTTGGTGACGCAGCAAAACTATTTAAATCACAAATGTCATACATGTCAAAAAACAAACTTCACGATCTTTCCATCCAGCTAGTGAGTGTCACTAGCTTGGTATTAATATCTTTTAATAAACTGCTGACTCACTCGATACCCTAAAGCACATAGCGAAACGGTGTGGGTAGTTTGTCAACTTTTCAGACATAAAACCAAGTTTTTTTTTTAACTGAGCTCACTTAGGTTAGTCACTAAGCTGTGATGTTCTCAATTAATAATGACTACAAAATGAGCCATTCGATGAAACGTGCAAAAAATTCTTAATGAGCCTTAACTGAGTAAAAATCTCAATGTTTGTCTAACTGCCCAAATTTGGGGGAAGGTAATTCATTCAGTCTGATAACTTTACGATTCACTTCACACGGCATTTGGATTTATTTATTTGCATCCAATGAAATGCTAATAATTCCTAATTTGTGCATATATCGCCTTTGGTGCATACTACAGAACGCTCAGTCATCCACACCAGGTTGCAATACATTGCCATCGATAGCACAGAGATAACAATTATGCATTACTGATGCAGCTAAGATGGAGGAGGTCAAGGTGACTTTGGTAAGATAAAGTGGTTATGGTGCTTAAAGTAACCCTTTAAGGACCAATAAAACAAGGCATACATCACAGAAATAAAAATAAGAGTTTGTATGCCCACTCATGTGTGTAAAGTCCATTTTAATCCACTAAAACTGATGTCCAAGAGCAGCATGAGATAATTACATCACTGTTTTATGTAATATTATATTATTATTCTTAAATTATCAGCAATGTGTGGACTAACATTCAAGCTTTGTTTTAGTCTTCTGGTGATTATTTTTAGTACCAGTCAGTGAAATAAAAATAAAACAAAAAGAATGAGGTTAACGGGATGTGCCCAATTTGAAATTCATTCACCAGCCACTAAATCTCAAGAAAAACACATGCATATTCCAAAGTAATTTTTAAAGAAATATGGATAATTAAATGACGCGTAAGACAAGATACAGTTCTGTATATTAACTTTATTAAAAGTGCACATAACCATGTAACACCCAAAATGGGCATAAGTCCATAATAGCACTGTGTACAGAAATATTTCAAGAATAAGCTAAAAATTCCAAAACAAAATTTAATCCACTTTATAAAAAAAGTAGATAAGTCATTTATTTTAAATAAAATATGCATGTTACTTTAAAAATTAAATATGTCCAATAAAATGGATCTATTTACAGTAGCTATGTAACTCTTTAAGGGCTAGACAATAGGCAGGTCAATGCTTTAGAATGTGCTACCCCTATTCTCTCGCCCTTAAAGGTTCTGCCAGTATACTCAGCACCTCTCTGTGTTATTGCAAGGATAAGCAAGCGTCCACCATAATTCTTGACGTTGTGAATTACATTTCCAACTATGCTTTCCCAGCTTTTTTTTTTGCCATGCATTATGGGAAATGTAGTCCAGAGCATCATGAATGACAGGTATTGCCTACCCAAGGCATGAGTTTCAAACAGAGTTCATTACATTCATTCATGGGAATTGCAGTTCACAACATTTAATTACCATATATATATATATATATTACAAACGTGTTTAGGAATCAGACATGGACATACTGTACTATTTGAACAGATTACTGTCCCACAGTGAGACATGTAAGGTTAAAGGAACCAATTACCGCTGTTCTAGAAAATAAATGACCTCAATACAGGGCAAGAGGAAAACTATGCCAAGCCACAGCTCCCAGAATTCATTTCCAGCCATAATTAACACTGATATATGTTTTTATATATGTTACAATTAATGCAAGGCTCGATTCACGAAGTTATGAACAAGATTTCTTCGAATAAAAGAAAACTCTCTGACAGACGTTGAATAAATATTCAAAATGTATATTTTCGAGGGCAGGGGTACCCAAAAGGTAGATCCCCAGATGCTATAGAACTACAACTCACATGATGCTTTGCGTGCCTTTAAAATACCTTTAGAATGACAAAGCATCATGGAAGCTGTGGTTTTAAAACATCTGGGTATCTACCTTTTGGGCACCCCTGCTCTAGGAATATTCAGGGTAGGATTTTAAAGTAAAATTGATATGAACAGCCATCTTGTAAATGAACAAGGACAATCTTCCCCATTGGTTTACTAAAGGAGGGGGAAAAAATGGCAAACAAAAATGTATCAATGGGACTTATTCACTAAACCGTAAGTTGTTATTTGTTGACAATGAGAATATCCTTGGTGGAACCAGCAGGTCTAATAAATCTCTCTGACTTTTTTTTTTATTCCATCCACAAGTGAAAATGAGCACATTGCAACATGAAAAGGTCAATGTCAAGTCTGGATGTGAGATTTATTGGAACTGCAGAATCTTTCTACATCTACAAACTGTGATATGGGGCTTAAAGCAAGACAGTTACTTTTTTTTTTTTTCTTTCTCTTTAATCAATCCATTTTTTGTCCCTCAATTTCCTCTCGCTCTTAATTTATTTATTTTTCAATTTATTTATTTATTTTATTATTATTATTATATGCCTAAAATAATGCATGGACTACTTTTTATGTAGTGGGTGATATTTGGAAAAAAAACAGAGCTGAAGCATGGGTCCATTTTGTTTTCCTGAACATCATTTAAAAAAAATCCCACATCCTGGACAGATGTCAAAATGGCTGTGGCCAGACATTAAGAACTGTTAATAAATATATAAAAAGGCCGGGACTGTGGGTTGGGATGTATACTCATTAATCTATAGTTAGGAAACAAAACGTGAAA